AGCCAGATGCTCTTAAAAGTAAGGCTGGTGATACTTTATGTCAAGTACTTTGTTATCAGGAGAGATCAATCCCTGGACAAGGACAGCATACTTGATAAAGTAGAAGGTCAATGAAAAAGAGAAAGGCATGCCATAAGATGGATTGACACAGGGACTGCAAACATGGCCTCAACGCTAACAATTGTGAGGATGCTACAGAACCAGGCAGGGTTTAGTTTTGTTATGCACAGGATCTCTAGGAGCTGAAAAAGACTTGATGGGACCTAACAATTATGAATGAGGATGATCACTCTCCTTATATGCTTCACATTTCTTTTTTTTCACATTTCAATTTAATGTTTAAGTATACACCCTCTTAGTCAACTTCCATATCATTTTAACTCTCCTCTATCACTAACAAGAAAATATTGCATAGAATTCAAAATCGTACCTTCAGCCGGGAAAAAATCATAACAGCAATCCCTGTACCACAGAACAATATCAACCTTGAAGATTTTATAGATGAAAATGGAGCACATAATCACTACTGTTAATATGGAAAATATCCCAATTATGTAACTCTGGAAATCACGGACTGCAGTGGAAAGAGAAAAGAAAATGGCACAACAGTGTCAAAGTTTGAACCGAGTACATCAACCATGACCATCTGAGATGCCATATTAGAAACTGGTCTATGTTTAGGATTTGCCCAGTCATTATCATACTTAATAATGAATATGAAAGTAGAATGTACTCTAGCCTGGATATTATATAAAATTATAGCACATTATATTCAATTTCCATCTAAATAGTATAATACATGCTACATAGAAAATCACCAAAGACTATGGTTAACGCATTCTATAGCAAAACAAATAAAAGTCAAATTCATTCAAAAGTCTACAATAAATCCCAGCACGAGGAGAGTCAGATGGTGAAAGTTGAGCGAGAGGAAAGGGTGCAAAGGAGATCTTAAAACCCAAAGCAAATTCATTACCATTGAGCCTGGAAAGTGTTGTGGGAGCAGCCAGCCACATCTTTTGCCTATGGAGCAGCTGCTGGGCTTGTACTGCTGATCCTGGAGTCAGCAATCCAACACCAACCCCACGAGATCTCTGGGAGTCTTTAAGGGTGGTTATGTACGAGAATGATCACAGTCCACATCAAAGAGGAGGAGTGTGCGGAGAGGAAAATAAAGATGACAGAGGAAAAGAAAGTAGAAGGAAGAAGAACGTATCTTCTAAATACCAGGGGCCACGTAGGCACGTAGAGTAGGAAATCTGACAGCTTTTATTATTTCAGTTTTCTAATTTAGAACTTTTGATCTTTCTGGAATTGGTATGAGTAGGAAGTTGAAATCAGGACACACCAATTCCTTAGATCAATAGCCAGTCGACCAACTGCTAGTTAACACTGACAATCCTTATGTTGTTGTCATCGGGTGTCATTGAGTTGTTTGCGATGCATAGCCACCCTATGTACAGCAGAACAAAACACGACCCATTCACGAGCCGTGCGCCCAACTGTTCTTCAAGTGTTGAGCCCAATGGCGCAGCCACTGTAGCGCCACCAAAATCATGATATCTGGTTGTACCAATCCTCCAGATTCATTGCTGTTATTCAGAATCAGCTGGATTCTGGGCCCTTTTAGCATTTCTATAAGACAATGAGAAGAAACTTCACCATTTAGAGCCATATTCCAAAAAACACATGGAACCTAAACTCACATGCGCACAGACCCCTGTTGATGGTCTTGATCAGAAGAGCTGTGACTTTACCAATTCATTTGGAGAGAACTTACAATTTAGAATATGGACTCTTTCCATTTATGAACATTTTATAGTCTGTCATATTTTTAGATCTT